TTCGATTTCCTGAAGAATTCCTATATTGTATGAATAAATTTTGACATTGTAATTTTAGAAGCATATGCGAGTCTAATGGAAGCGTATAATTATTATAGGATTCTTTAATATATAAAGGATAAAAAAAAACTTATCGTCGCATAGCACAGGCATAGTCCGTTTTTCATCATTTTGCTCTTTAATCCTATCTCTTTAGCTTAGTTGGTTCGGAAAAGCAGAGCCGAGAACATATCACGCCGTAGTGGCACGTAAAAATAGCGAGGTAGATAGAACGGCTCGTTAGTTAAATGTCGCCTGTACGAAGCCGGCAAATGCCGTCATTAATATTGAAACGAGGTCCCTTTGAAAAGGGATGCATGCGCGCTCCAAGCACTTTCAAAAGGTGTGAATACGTACATTCTTCAAATTGATGCGCCGAAATGTCGACGACCGATTGACCGATATATACGCTAAGTAGTCGGAAATAATGGGAGTAGTATAAAAAATAAGATTTGCATATCTACCTGTGTGTATAATTTACGAAATCATAAATCAAACATCTGCGATTTATTTATTTCGTAAATTATATAAAAATGAATGAAATGTAATGCGCGAACATATTTATTTCTTATTATGGTTTGCCTGTTTTTCGGAGATGGTAATTAATAATAATCAATAAGTGATCCAAAAATTGAATGGACCAAATTAATATAATCGATCGAATGAAAAAAATTCTTTAAAAAGCTAAGAATATTAAGAAAGTGTATGCGTAATAAGAATTTGTAGAAGAGTTAAAAGATGAAAATATTTTTAACATATTTTTCGCATGTTTAATCTCTCATATAAAATGATGTAGAAGAATATTTTAAATAGAAAACACGATTATTTCAAAATGAGAAATATGTAAAGACTCACATTATTCTCATAATCACGATCGCTTTCGTGAGAATATCAAAATTGTTCGCAGTAAACGTTGATCTGTACTACTTTCCGATTAATAAATCCGTGAATCTAATTATCGTTGATATCATTGGCAGCGGATCATCATCACCGTCAAAGACAAACATCAGCTCAATTTATTAGTCGACGACAAGTTTGAGAATTAGTTTCATGCTTGTTTAATCTCCGGGCGATTATGACGTAACTTTATAAATATCACACTCATGTATGTATGTATTAGGCTTCGCCTAATTACGTACATACAAGCACAAGATCTTCCTCATTAAAATTCAGAATTGCAAGAGAATTGCAGAATTTAATCAAATTAATTCGCGGCATGTTCCACACATATCTCAAAATGATTGGAAAAGTTTTTAGATCTTTGCTTTATTTAAATAATATTTCAGTAATATTTTAATTATGTAATATTTTACCACGCGTGTTAATTATAAATTATATTAAATCACTTTCATCACGCAAATATTATTGATTACGTTTTCCTGCTATGTTTAATTTTTCAAATAAAATTGTATAGAAGATTATCTTTAATAGAAAACACATGCACAATGAGTCAGATTATTTTCATAATTATGAGTGTTTTTGCGAGGATGTCAAGGTTGGTAGCAGCAAACGTTGATCTGTACTACTTTTCGATTATACGAAACTCGATTAATAAATTCGTAAGTGTTAAAATTCTTTGTTTATTGTGCGCGGTTATTAATATATAATATATACGTATATATAATTGTAATGTTTTAATTAAAAATATAAAACTCGTGCTTATTATTCAAAAATGTAGTACTTGTTAAAAATAAGTAGTGTTAAAATTCTTTGTTTATTGTGCGCGGTTATTAATATATAATATATACGTATATATAATTGTAATGTTTTAATTAAAAATATAAAACTCGTCGTATTCAAAAATGTAGTACTTGTTAAAAATAATTAGAATATACTCGTCGATTAATATCGTGCATCTTTTGTCATCTTGAGAAACAATTGTCTTCATGATAAGTCAATTCACTTAGACATTCGCTCGACGTAATGAGGTAACATGTATGTTTCGCTTCTGCGATAACCTAGATTTGAAAACAAAAAGCTTCTGTTTGTCTGCACAGTATCGCGTTGCCGGATCTTCATCATCCGACGGATTTCAAGCACGGTTTTTGGTTAACGCAGCAGGAAATGAAGGAACAACATAGGAGAAAATCATATTATACAATAAACAATGTAAAATATATATTTTTATATTTAAGTTAAATAATAATTAAAATAATAAAATTTTTTTTAAATTTGCAAAATTTTACATAATCTAATAATCATTTATCAAATAATTAAAATAACATATTATATATATGAAAATATTTTGTCTTACATTTTTAATATTTCTCTCATAATTAATATTTTACTTTAAAATATGAATTTTATATATATTTTAATATTTCATTAAATATTTATTATATTATATTACACATTGAATAATAAATTTATAATTGATAAAAAGAGAGACTATCTCGCTCATTGCATTAAATTGCATTAAAATATTTACAAAACATTGAATAAAATCTCGTATTTTAAACGCTATCTGATGCTATTAATGGTACGTATTTGCTTATTCAATTTTATTCCTTTATCATTAATACAATATGTATAATAAATAGATAAATAAATATTTGCACAAAATACTTTTCGTGTAATAATGATAAAAAGAAAAATAGACAAATGGATAGATAAATAGACAGATAAATAGAAAAATAGGTATATATGTAGATAAATGTCTATGCAGTATACGTATGTATGTGTTGTCTAAGTCTTTGATATTAATTATTTCATTGGTTGACAATTATTTGTTATTATGAATATAATACGCGAATATATTGTAAATAAACGTGGAAGCAGATATAATAGTTTGTCATTTTTAGACGTTTATTCCAATTGAATTTCGCTTAAATTTTATCAGACATTAATATGTTAATGCATATAACTGAATAATATTAATTCAATTAATGCTTCTCGAATAAAATTTCAGTATGTGCATTATTTAATATTCATAAAAATCGCAAAACTGCAAAATGAGGAATTATATTTCGATTATAATCGGATTTGTTGATTGGCAACAGAATATTGGAGGGGATTGTTGATAAAGATAATCAGCGTTATGCTTTTAAATTTTCATTTACATCTTAAACAGATTATTCTTCAACAAATCAAAAATTTATCTCGTGATTTATTAGTCTTTAAAAATTACAGTTAAATACAATTTTCCCGTGTTAAGGTGACAATTTAATTTGCTAAATTTTTTCAGCAGAGTAAGATTTCTGTCTTTACAGAATACAGAACACTTTCTTTCTTTTTCAGGAAAAAAGGGACGGATTAAAGTTCAGATTAATTAAGAGAGTACTGAGGCAGATTATTAGCAACAGATTGTGGCGCAGATTGTCGTCAGCGAAAATGAGGATATACCCTTTGTCAAAATGAAAGGGCGAGCGAGAAAACTCGCTAACGACGATTTTATTCAGCGACAAATATCACCATAATATAAATCAAATTTTTTCACGTGGCAAAAATTTTCATTTCATTTCATTTTTTTCTAAATTAGTATAATATGTACATGTTTTCGGTTTCTCTTGATCTTTTCGCACTGAAATGTAGAATGTATATTAATTAAAGAATTGTTAACTTTAAACGTAACAATATATTTTTTTCTCTCTCTCTATCTTTTGTTTTTTACTTTTATGTTACAAATTTTTTTCTTAAAAAAGAGAATATTAAAAATCTTAAGTATTTTTTATATTTTTATTTCAACATTTTACTTTTCTCAGTTACGTTATTTATAGGAAAAGTCTCACTTTCGTCAATATTCTTGATAAAATCATATTAATAAGAAACGTGCCTCTCCCATTATCAGATATGTGCTTGGGATAAGCTTTCGGGTCAAGAAGTATCGAGGATGCTTGTTATTTGTTATTTGTCACATCACGCCTATTTCGGGGTAATTTGAGATTGACACGCACATTAAACACGCACAGATACGTGTCATATATATATATATATATGGTATATATATATATATATATATATATATATATGTGACGTCAAATTAAAGTAAGATGATGATGAAGTAGAGACTATGAGAAAAATAAAAAAAATTATTTAAATAAAAAAATGGATTCACAAAATTATCAGACATACGCTCAGAAAAAAATATGTAAAGACTTCATAAATTAAATGACATTACGTACCATAAATTTCTATAATGCATTTTTTGCAATAATGTATAATTGTTTTTTTTTACATTCCATATATTTATTTTTAATTCACAATTTTTATTTGTTTTACTTTTATTCACGTTTTTTTCATAAAATATATCATCGAAAATTGAAAATGAAATTATTTGATTTAAAACTTTATCTATATTTTGAATCGCATTTCCTAAACGGCATCACTCTAATCGTAATTCGCACCTTTAGAGATCGACTGTAACCGACACTCTCTATCACAGGTGAAGATCTGAGAAGTGCACGGTTTAGCGTTAAATGTTTCACGTTGGGGAGAAATGGAACGCATTGTGGAGAGCAAACAGCTGCGGACGATGCTTCTACGAGTTGTTACGAGAATTAGCGTCCATTTTTGAGAGAGCGGACACGAGAAAGCGCGTTTCCAACCCTCGTCGTTATTTTTAGATTTTTTTTGTTAGCAAACACAAGTGTCGTCGTATCGTCTCTTTACGATCTTTCTCACGGGAGCTATATTAATTGCTACAAAAACGTTGCTGTCGTAAACACGGACTGATAAATCGCCGTCGAAGCATTAATCGATATCGTTGATAGCGTAATAACACGATGAAGTAAGAAAATGCGAGGAAAATGGGACAATGGAAACTGTTTCTTCCCTACAATCGAAAATTGTGGAAAATTGCTTTCTCTGCGTTCAGTTTGTTACAATCACGAACGCATTTTCTTGCCTTAACTGCGTTACTTTCGCGATGCGCTAATTTCGCGAGCGTGTTGCGCGAGAGTAATTTTCTGCTGAAAACTCTCCGTTCTCCACTGCTATTATATGAATCGTGTCAAAGCACTTACCTTATCGAGACGAGTATCATGGCGAATATCAGGTACTTTCCAAGCAACGGCACAACCAAGGATGTCGGCGGAATGATCTCAACGACCAACAGGAAGAACACGTGGAGACTGATGAGAATCGAAATGGAGAGCGTTACCTGTGAAATTGAGAGATGTTCATTTTCGTTGTGTAAAAAAGATAGAAAAATATTTGAAATTGTTTTTATATTATATTACATTATATTACTTGTATTAGAAAATGTTGGATGTGCTTCGAAATAATTAGATTTATGTTGGCAATAAAAAAAAGATGCCAAATCTTTAATTATTTGTATCTTTCGTTTAATTGTTTTTCGTAATATTATATTATGTATAAACTCTCAGTAGCTAAAATTCCATTTTATATTTTTTTTTATTTTGTGCCAATATTAAACATATGTATAAAACTGGTATATTATTTGGTAAAAACTCATAAAATTTTACCTTTATGTTATAATAAACGTTATGTTCACATAGCGTCATACTTTGTGTGACGAGATTTTCCTTATATTTTTTATTTAATTTCAAAAAGTTACAGTTTTATTAGAGTTCCAAAAACAATTCTACCTGCTAAAAGCGAAAAATCGATTAAAATTAGTTACAAACAAATGCACGCATGTATGAATATCCAAATAAAATGCAAATCAATTTTCAAAAATTCCGTTCACTGTAAAATAGTTCTTGTATCGTTTTAAACATATTCATGCATTTTATAAAAAGTTCTAACAATAAATAATAGTATTAAAATATTTTTTAAACAGTTTTTTGCCTGAATAAAACATATAGTAAAGCTTAAATAAAGCTCTGGTCGATTTTTTTATTTAAAATTCATAATAAAATGTATATATTCAGATATAATGGACTTATAATAAAAAAAATTGACCAATATTTTATATAAAAAAAGTGCAAGAATAATATAGAAGAATTATAATAAGATAAACAATAAACTACTTCTCAAAATCAATTAGATCATTTCGATATTTTTACATATGGGCGTTTGCTTATAAATTATTTTAATTTAAGTAATATTATTTTCTTTTAAGAAATAAAACTTGTTTAGAATTTATTTCAAGTTCTAACTTTTTTAAATCTGAAGATAAATGAGAAATAGAAAATATTCATGTTTTAAAAACTCACATAATTCTTGTTTAGAAATTTATAAATTTGCACAAAATTTATGTGTGTTATAGATTATAAATGTAAGCATTTTTAACATAACATATCTTGCATTTGTTTTTTAATATTCTAATCAATGCATCTTTCGTCTATAATAAAAAGAAAATAAATATATAATACATATAATAATACATATGGCACAATATTAATTATCACAGAAAAAATTCACTTTGTTATTGTGACCATGTTATTTAAAAAAAAAAAAAATAAGAAGTCTAAGATGCAGTTGGCAGACGAAAATATATGCTCCTTTTTCTTCAGAATGTGTCCCTTGACAGGCGACAAATTTTAGGCCTATTCGAAAAAGGCAGGTAAAAAGTAGGTAGCGAATAGTCAAGCAGAAAATTCGTATTTATGATTCGCGTAAAGAATGTACGAAGTAGCGATAGTCGGAAGGATAAACGGGGCCAGCCCTGTAAGATGAAAGTTGCCTCGTTGACAAAATTTATGTGTCCGTGATCCATTCGTTCTAATAAAACTTGTAAACGAAGAATATCAAGTAAGTACGTGCAACACGTTTAAGAGTCTTATCGCATATTGATAATAAAGACAAGCATAAGACGATAAGAAATGTGAAATAATATGAGATAATTTTGCCTCATATATTTTAGTATTCAATGTGATTAATTTATCAAAGACCAGTGAATTTAATCCTACATACTAGTATATATGTAGTTTACATATAACAATATTTTTTTGTTAGCAAATGAATAAATCAACCGTTCGTCTGAAAACGCCTTGTATTACCTCATTGTTCATTGAATAAATCAACATTATTGCATTTGTTATCGTTAAATCTATATATATCTAATTCATGATGCTTGTTTTGTATAATATTTATTTTTTAAATGTGATAATTGTAAAATATAAAAACAATAAATATTCGAACAAAGAGAAAAAAATTTTTTTTTATGAAAAGAGAAAAAAGGTACTTTTCTCTTCCGATTTTTAATTTTTTTTGTTCAGCAACAAGTGCAGTAACAATATAATCTATTAAGTACTATAAATAGCTAGAGTCAGTTTACTGTTTCTCTTCCTAATTCATTTTGACGATAAAAAAAGGAACACCATCCAAGTGTCAACATCAAGCAATTAACTGGAGTTCTCGTGCAGTGATTACTCGATGTACTTCGATGAGTTTTCCTTAGAAAAGGTAGCATTGCTTGATATAATGAATACTGAGAGATGGCACACGCGAAGTGTCTGCTTCAATTATTAGCTTAGCTCTGTGAAAGAAATATATCTAAGGCGTAAAAAAAATCTATTCGATAGCCAGTAAAAATACAAGTTTAACAAATGGTAAAAGAAAAAGACGCGGAATAGCATCCACTAAGTGAGATTTTATGTAGTAAATAATTTAATGATCCAATTCGTTTATCAAAAAATTTAAATGAATTAATGAAATAATATTTCAATCAAATGTCTTACATAATCTCTCTTGTTTTCTTGTAACAATTTTCTTAAGAATTTTCATTTATCAAACTGTAATTTTATTTAACAATATTATATATTTTCTAATATTAATGCGCATATATAACGTAAAAAAGTCAAAGAAGAATGAGGCGGAACTTTATAAACTTTCTTTGCAAAGTTTGATTGTTTGCTGCAGTTATATTATGAACATGCAAATATCACAGACAGGACTAAATCTATCATAGCTACAGGATATATTAAAAATTTTTCGTGAGATTCATCGTGCATGTTGTGAAAGCGGAAGTTATAACCGGGTTAACGATTACTTAAAGTCTTCTTCCGTAAAACGATTCCCCTGTGTGTTCGAAAGTTTTATTATATTCTTTTATGTGTTGGGCATATTACGGGTTGAAGTACAAGTTGAAAAGTCTGATATGTATACTTTGCTCAAACTCATAATAATTTTTTCGACGTTAAATAAAATTTAAAATAAAGTATAATAATAAAATGCAAATTTTTCTAATAAAAGAATTTTTTTTCGTCACAAGCGATAAGTGTCCAACATAAAAATATTTAGATTTTCATATTATTACAAATTGCATGCTATATAAATTGTTGTCAAAATGTTCTAAAATTACAGAAATATTTTTAATATATATATATATATATATATTCGTCTTTATTATATAAATGTATATTTTATCATTTTTATTATCTACTTATTATTTTAATTTTATTAAAATAAATGTTGAATTTATATAAGAACTTGGGAAAATTATTTTACAGTATTTAGCTTTAACAATAAAAGATTTGTATTGTAAACTGATCGGCTATTGCATTTTTCTCCGAGTGAAAAGATAAAAAGCAAGATATTTTTGATTGTGAATTTTGTCGATATCGTGATCACGTAATTTTTTCGGAACCGAATGATGAAATTTGGCTGAATGGAATTCACGCGAGATTTGATACGATGAAAAGCGACAAATGAAAAAGCAGTCTGACTATTATATGATCGATTTTCTCTTTTTCACCCAATACTCGATAGTTTCGTATACGTTAAACTTAAAAAATAAATTTGTCTATTAATAACTCAAATAAAAAAAGATACAAAAGTTATATCTGCACTAGGTTTAGTGACGAATTTAATTAAAAGTTTTTATCTCTGTGTAACATCGATATCCTTTACGAAGACAAGAATTACAGAACGAAATCGGTTTGATATCATATATAAAGTTCTTTGATCCATTTCTGCAAACTTTCACAAAGTCGGAGATCTGTCAATAATATCTGTTACGGAATTGTATTGTGTAAGCTTCAATGAAATAATTTCCAATAAACAGTTTTCCGGAGTCCGGAAAGTATTTGCGGACATATAAATACGTAATTATCGGTTTCAGTTTCCTTTTTTAATTGAATGCAACGGTGGCTTTTCAGCAGCGCTTTGTGACGTTTCAGGACGATTAATTTACAGCATGGCTAATCGTTGCTTAAAACCGTCCATGCGTTATGTCAGTCAGCCAGACAGTGTTTATCTCTCGATCGAAAATTTCACTGGCTGATATATTTTGTTCAAACGATTTCCAATTTCGCTATTGTTATTTTCACTATTTACTGTATATTATCGTATTTTATTTATTTGAAGTTTCCATTTGTTCCACAAAAACATCTAAACATATACATATATTACCTTTATGATGTCTGTGTGTGTAGTTATGCCACTTGACAATTTTTAATTTAATAAAAAGATTTGTTTGCATCAATTATTTTTGCTTGACAAATATCGAGATGTTGTTTTTCAATCGATAAAATTATATGATAGATTAGTATATACAATCAACATACAATAATATTAATCCTTAATCTCTTTAAGTGGTAATCTCTCTTGTAACTTACATAAAACGGCGGATCGTTTATTCTTGATGCATTTCTCGCCGATTGCATGGGATTTTGCCGAGTAATAGAAACCGGTTTACACTTTTTTTTAACGATCACGAGTGTACATACAACGCACAATCATCGACGATGGGCTCTTATCGAGAATCGAGTCGGCGGCTCTTATTGCGAATTGAACGAAACGCAAGCGAAAACGCTTCATTTTTACTGCGGTTTTGCCATTTGCAATAGCGTCTCGTAGCGATTAATTTAAAGGATCGACCGCTGGTGCGCGATAGCGTTTATCGGGCTGCTGCCGTGTCGTCAGTTCCGGCGGCTTTCATCGATGCATTCGGATCGATAGTGCACCCGGTTACTCTTTCCATCCGACCGCGCCTTTAATTATTGTCGACTACTCTTCATCTGCCATTTGCACGCGTATCTTGTTGGTGTTTCTATCGAATGTTTCAACAAACGGTTCCTCAATCGACCCGACATTTTTTATTGCGTGCATTACGAAGAAATCTGATGTTCTCCTTCAAGTATATTTCATAAACTATCTCATGCGACGTACACAATGTATGAAATTGGTACTATTTTTTTATTGCTTTAGTTCGCGTTTATGATTTTATATTAATGGCAAAATGATTGCGACAAA